TTAGTAACAAAAATAATTAAGGAAAAACAACTTATTATTGTAGTAAGATATGACGCTAGAATAAATGTTTGTACAGTCATAGTTTGGAGTGATGCGATGAAAGTCTCAATTGAGTAAAAACGATAATGAAATATCAATATGTATGAGTCATATATGCATAATGAAGATAAAACGAGTCTGAGAAGTTAATTTAAGTGTAACACAAGTTATTGTCTTAATTACAAACTTCGTAATCTTAGGAATATTTATTTAGAGGGAAAGAAGAGAGAAAAGAAGTGAACACCTAGTGGAAAGTTTCATCCATGATAAGAATAATAATTGCATAATGAATATCAACCTCAGAAGGAAACCAACAGTTTAGAAAAATAAAATAAAAATCCTTTAATGGACTCGGATGAATACATTTAGATTTATGTAATAGTATACAGAGTGAAACCGGATATTAGTATAAATATTTGTGCAGTAATAATTAAGAATGATGCTATGAAAGTCACAATTGATTTCAAAGGACAGTCAGGAATTAAATATGTTAAGAAGGATAAGAAGATATAAAAGGAATATCTAATGTGTCGGGGGAACAATAATGATATTAATAACAGTAATAATAATAACAGTAATTGATTAGAAACTGTTGTCTCACAAACATGAGTTTCACTTAACTCTGAACTGCTATATGACTCTACACTGTCTTTTGAAACCGTTGATCAAGATAAATGATCATTAGGAACACTGGACTTAATATTAGTTGCAGCAAGATGAACAGTAGTATTACAAACTGAATGAATATGTCCAATATCACCACATTTAACGTACTTGGAATTACGATATTTACATGAATTAGAAGAGCGGAAATTGCCACAGGACACACATTGAGCAAACTTGTGCCCATCTTCTTGAACTGCATCGCAACTCCTCAATGAATTATCTGCATAACCTTGAATATGCACTGGGTTGGGATAACGTAATGTTGTGGAATTTTTTAAATCCTCATGAATCATTGTGCGAAATCTTGCTCTTTCACCACATTCGAAAATTGTATAGTTAACACAGCTTAGCGGTAGATCCTTGAGGATTGTATAAGGAAGTGAAATGGGCTTCTCCGGCATAGCCAGAGATTTTAATAAGCTATATGCTTCTTTTCTGATGAATGTGAGGAAATATGCTACAATATTAACGTCCTCATCATCTCCCTTGGCCATAACCCAGATTTCGAACCCTTCGAAGTAATCCTCAAAAGCATCAAAATCTGAATGTATATTCAACAATTCCATCGCAGGCTCAATCGAGACGCCGATGTGATGATTAGAAGTATTTGGACTATAGCACGAACTAAGAATCCCAGAAATAATGTAATCGGATCAAGAAGTACTAGATAAGCTCGAACGAATGTACTGTGTTTGGCATTCAACAAGTACAAAGGAGTCATTAGTTCATTCAAAGACCACAGAAGCACAATAAGTGAAACGTTAGTATATTTATAGTTTTTACATGAGAAGATTCTAGAGTCTTCTCAGAGTACCAACTGAAGCTGATTGGTTAAGAACTAGCCAATCGGCGTGCACCAATACAATTGTGTACAGAATATGCTTTAATCTAATCTATGTCCCGCTAACACTTTACAACTATTTTTAATCCACAGTTAGCAGTCAACCTACTTGATGTACTTGAATTAAAATAAATCTGGTGTCATGAATGACACGGAAGCCTGAAACCTTGATTCATATTGGTAATATGATGACAAACGACAGTTTAGAATGTTTACTTTAAGTAAAATCCCTCAATGGAGCCATGGAGTTTCGTTTGACCTCAACTGACTGTTGCGCTTTTTGGAACTCTTAATTATCACGTGAATAAATTGCCGATTAAAACACGACCCAATAAAATTGGCACTGAATTGGACCAATGATGCGTTAACTTGTGCGAGGAGTCTAGATTTAACGCTGAGTCCTGATTGATCCTTCTATATATACCTGCCTGTTTGAGTCCAGAACACAGTTTCTACTGTAGGAATCACGTGTTTCGAACATACGCAATTTATGTACAAGGAAATCAGACCTCATCGCACCATAAAATAGGAAATAGCAATTATACAAGATCAGACAAAAGTGGCTGTGTGAGTGAATGTAACCAATAAGTTGGGAATAACGTAAGAATATTGTAGTCAAAAGATTAGATGGAAACTTATAATAAAAGGAATATAAACTCACAAAAACTAACTACTTAATAATCATGAAATGATAATATATATGATAAAATCCATAAATAGATCCTAGCAGTTACCATTCAACGATTCATCGTCCAGATAGAACACTGACAACAATGGTTAGCATTTTGCATCTCACTGGGGAATAAATATTTTTAGTACCGATTACATGTTGCAGACTACAGTCACAACTAAGGAAACTCCCCTCTAGAAGTGTATCAAGTTGAAAAAGATTTAGGAGTGCTGATAACCTACAATTTGAAGTCTTACGCTAATTGTGACAAAAATTCCTTTCGATCATACCTTGCACTGGTAACAATGAAGCGCATTTTTGGCCAGCTTGACGGTAGATCTGTCCACATAATCTTCAAAAGTTTTGTTGGTCCCCCAAAGAAATGGAAACATAGTATTTCCTCCCTCATTCTGGAGCGTATCCAACGGCGAGCCACGAAACCAGTTCAAGGACTTCAATTCAAGCCTTATGAAGAGCACCCACAGTCACTAAACCTTTACTCATTAGGGTATAGGCGTCTTAGAGGTGACCTTTTAATGGCTTACAGCATCCTTGAAACTTCTGGATATCTCCTTAAGCACCTACTTATGTTTAGCTCCAACACAAATCTAAGGGACAGTATTCAGAAACTGGAGACAACTTGGCAGAACGGACTGCGGACATGCCACTGCAGACACAACATCTACTCCTTAAGAGTTGTCAGTTGATGGAATTCGCTGCCGGCTGAGCTAGTCCAGGCGACTTCCCAGGAGTACTTTAAGAGGTAACGTGACCTATTCTTAAGGGCTAAGGATAATATCTTACTGATTTACCAATTTGTTTTTCCTCTGTTATCGTTAATAAACCTAGGTTACTGCCTGGAGGTATTGGTGATCCACAGCTACTAGACACGGAAGCATGTTAAGCGAAAGCTTCCTCTATTCCGCCCGCAAACATTTGAACCATTTGAATAGGGACCTGTTGTCCATTAAATACTTGTTGAAACGGATCACTTTTACTGATTACCGACTGAAAAGATCACCATACCAGCGAACTTCAGCGGATCTGGTAGACTTTGGATTTACCAATCAGGAAGCAACTTTCGGGCAAGAGCTCAAAATGATTGAAACACGGAAGATTGAGAGGTTGAATACCAACCATGAACTTACATGTACTAAACATATGCAAATCTGACTAAGTATCTGTAATCCCGACAGATTCTAATACCTAGCCTCACATCTTTTGAAACGTAACTATTAACTCTAAATTCACTCGGACGCAGCTCTTAACCGTGAGACTACAACACCAAAATCGAACATCAAATCTCACGAAACCTGGTTCCTAACGTTACTGCTTCATGTCTCTAACTTCTAATAAAAACCATTACTTCAACTGCAGTACTCCTTACCTTAACACTGTAACTCTAAAATTCATTGACCGTGTAAGACTATACCAGGCCAACGACCCTCAGAGAACAAACCAGAATAAAACGGGCGATTTTAGGTTTGAATCCGCATCTGTAAAATCAGTTGCTATAGCGAGTTAGACTATCTGTCTCTATTATGGACTTCCAGATTACCCCGAACTAAAGCTTTTGTTACTGCTGGTTATTATCCGCCGTGCCTATGTTCAACGGTAATGAACCGTGTGCGCTTGATGAGTTTTCGACTCGCCTGTTCGTTCGTTTTTCACTTTTTCAGCTCTATTCGCTCAAGCCACTCTGAATGCTCCAATACTACACAATGTACCCTCTGGGCAGACGCGAAACGTACAGCTTCAGATGACCTGTCGCTTCTACAGATAATGTTTACGAGACTTAACATTCTAACCAGTTTAGAAAATGATTCGGAAGTGCAGCACCTTTTAGAATAACATGGTTTTCCAGATGTAGGCATATGTAGGTCTTGAACTACATCTGAACGGGCTCAAGAATTACCGTAGCTAGTTGCTCTTTGACAGAGCGAGGAGCAGCTGCACTTACATAGTAGTTATCGCTAATGTTCCGTTTTGTTATTCGAAATATAAACTAATCAGCCTGACGCTTTCCCTCATCTAGGAAAGGTGTTTTTCAACATTTTTGATTACTGAGTTTCAAACCATTATTTTGTGTCTGTTCGTCCGGGAATATGAGGTCATTTGGGGGCACTTGTAAGTCCGTTTCACATCTGACGGCTCTTCGAAGTTTAATATCGTGTGGATAGTTAATTATTATTGAACTGAAGTTTTCTGAGAGGTCTTAGATGAATGTGAGGTACAACAGAGGGTTCAGTATAGTTTCATGTAAAACCTCGGTTTTAAAACCTTACCAGCGTAGCCGCATAACAATAATATTGGTCCTGAATCATTAGTCCTATAGTCAGTTACTTAACCGTATGTTTGTATAACGATTGATTCCTTTAGTTTTCGTTCAGTCTGCTCAGTTTAGAACAAAATGAAATGTTATATACTTGGTTGTAACTTCTGTGTGAGAAGTTCCAAGGTTACAAAACGACTCACTTAAAAAGCGACGTCTGTCAGGTCTAATTCTTATCGTCGTGAGACTATTTTTACTCAATAAACCACTCTTAGCTGGAGACGATATGAAATAAAAGGATATGGGGGAGGATGGTTTACATCCTTCCTCTTGTAAATGCATAAATTATGAGACGAGGGAGGCACGCTAAAATGATTGCTTTTTCCCTGCTCATAATGCATTATTTTGACAGTGTATTACGTATCTAACAGTGTTAAGCTTTTTGGTTGAAATTAATCTCCACGATTAATTATTATGACAATTGTTTATCTTTATGTTGCTTTAGCTGCGAGTTATGAGAGGATTTGAATTGCCTGAATGTATCGCGTTCAAAATCCTACACTACCGACTTTTAATTTCATTAATCAGATTATCTTAATCTTACGCTTGCGACATCTTCGATTTTCATCGATAACAACTATTACTGATTGTAATTTCGTTTTATGTGCTTACTAAGTAATCGGCTCACTTATTTTCTCGTTCTTTCCTCTTTCAGATTCTCACATACTGCATCTAACACTTCCCCAGAACATAGGTTACCTCTGGACTAAACGGGAACCTACGGAATACTAAGCGCTACATGAAATAGCATGCGAATATCAAGATTATGTGGTTCTGCAAATCACTGTGCACGGATATCAACACGCAAAACCATTTTCGGTGATGTGAGAGAATCTCGTATTGTTTTTTGTATTGACACTTCTGGAAGTATTTACAAAGTCTGGGATCAGATTTGCTCTCATATTGTCGAACATTTGTGCAAGATGGCTATAAACAACAAAGCCTTGTATTTCAATGTTATAACATTCGATGACTATGTAAGCTCTCTTTGCTCATGAACATATTTGTGAATAGGTCAAGCGCTTCCGAACGAAGCTTGTAGTAGCTTCTTACATAAATATACAGGAGTTAAATAGGTGGTTAAGAAGTGTATGTTTTGGGACTAGCTGTTATGTCTTTCCTGCGTTATTGGCGTCTTACTCGCATGTGGATGCGGAATGTGTATTACTAGTCACAGACGGTTTACTGACTAAGGTAGGTACTGTATAATTGATGTTTTTTTACAGAATTTTACCTGCAGGAGTTTTATGAGATACAACAATTATCCACAGTTTGCAACTCACGTCCCCTCTATTTAACCCTTTTAATGAATAATATAAATCCAAATAACAGAGTTATTGAACTGGCTTCTAAATTATTGATGATGACGTGTTGTTCGAAGAGCAGACTGAATGTTATTACAATTGCTGTGAGTGGATGTTTTGTCCAGCTTTCACCAATTGAATGGAGTATCAGAGTTCCTTCAAAACTTTACGGATGCCCGAATTCGTGCTATAAGTTTGTGCTTGACAGTCTACACAAATTTCCAAACGAAATCACAGGTGGAATATGTCCTGTTAAAAATCCACAGACGCATAATTTGACATCTCAAGAAGCCATGAAAGGTAAGATTTGAATCCTGCTATACAACGTCTCTAAGATGAATTCTAAAGCTAAATGTTGTGTCAGATGCGTCATAAACTTTTCCGAAGCTTTGCTATTAGCTGATAATGTTAAGATTCCTCATTATTGCAAAGCTCTGATCAGAATTATGAAATTTCTGTCTTAGGTTTAGCATCTTATACACAAAAAGTAGTGATTGCTCAGTTCATTCTAAACAAGTACTGACCTAAGAAAGTTACCGTTATTTTATTGATAAAAGTAAAACTCTACACATTATTTACAATCTACAAAAATGATTTAAACTCTGAAACGTTAGTGATATATATTCAATTTAGTGTAGTCAGCGGCATATAAATGACTGAGTTCTACCACTGGTCAGTGGCTGTAAAATAATTCATATGTTCTGTATTTGATGAAGAGATTTTGAAAAAAAGATTTTTGTAAACACTGGTATGTTGTGATCATAATACATAATATAGTATTTGTGGCTAAATTCGCAACTGGGCCTAAATTTTACTCATAGACGCAATTATCTAATCGGAAATCAGTTTTTTTCGCCCGTACTTTTTAAAACTGTAGTAGGAGTAACTCATGCAGTATATGGAAACGATAATTACGGGACACGGTAATACAATTTATGTTTCCACTTGTAGAAACATACACTTAAAGCAGGTTGAAATTTAAGACTAACAACAAGCTAGTCAACCCTTCATTGTTTTCGTACTTTTGAACAAATTATTAGCCTCATAGTATTCGGGAATGCATGAAATCTCTGAGTAAATTTACCTAGTGGCCTAATTTAGATCAGTTCATGGCTTAATTGAAATCTAACAACCACCACAAATCACAATGTGCAACTGTTTTTGCACTTTTCTGACATTGACAGTATTTTTCTAGACCTACAGATAATCAGACACGAACTAAGTAGCACGTGGATAATTAACGTATAAGTCTATGCTGGTACAGTTCACACAAGTACAGCAAAAAGAGTTTAAAAGAATTGGAGGGAACCACTAGTAGTAAAAGTATTCCCATTAGTAGGAAATAAAATAAGAAAGAAAAAGAAAGGGAAGGGAACAAGAAGTATATGACGATAATGTTTATGATCCAGACAGAGATAGGTAATAAACACATCAACAAAATTCCATTCCATCCCGATTCTTATCACTTGCTAGTCATTATCAACTAATCGTGGTTATTTCAGTGTAACGTTGCATCACTAATCAGCGTAGAATAGCATTCAATAATTGATGCAATATTTTGGTCCGATATCTCCCGATATTATCTCGTTAGATGTGTTCTCTGTTTGATGTCAAGCTAAGACTACCTAAATTGTGTAACGAAGTTAAATAGGTGAGGTTAACAACTTTCAATAATTTATAGATGTTAACAAAAATTGATGTCTTTCAGGCTCTAGGAGCTTAAAAAGGATCTCTTGTACAATGTATAGTGTCTCTTTGGAGTTTATAAATTTATTTTGTGTGTTACAAAACTGTTTTAACCAGTGGTACGTCTCGTTGATCAGATTTAATAATGATGCTAAATGTAGGTAGGTTTATTTGTCATAAGTTTGTACTGATGTGTGTAATTGATTTCAGATCCTTCTAAAAAGCTTTAAAGGCAAATATTTCCTGGTACAACGAATTTCTTAACCATCCTAATTCAGTCTTATTTTTGTTATAATCACTTGTCCATCAACTGAATCAGGGTTTTCATTTATGCGAAATTGAATATTTACTGTTTAGCTAGTTAGTAGTTTATTAACTTGAACAGATTATGTACTATGTGATTGTCTAATTGAACAAACCCCTTTATTTACATTTCTGACATAATAAAAATGATTACTCTGCAGTCACTCAGTTTTGTACATCTATAATTAGCAAGTAAGCTCAATATTGTAGCTAATAAACGACTGGCGAAACAGTAAGTAGATAGCAGAGTTTCTGAATGATGTTTGTATATAATTTTTACTGAAATGATGATATAGCGTACTTGAACCTCTAAGCACATGAGGATAAAATTCCTTATAATAATCCATATATATGAGCTACTGTTTGGAGATCGTTGACTGTGGCGTGATCTCACAAATGCACTAAACTTACTGTTATAAGTAAATGTAGATTAGGTACATGTTCGATAAACATATCCTGATAACTAACGACCCATTGGATCTTTAATTCAGAGCATTAAAAGACTTGTGACAAAAAGTATTCTTTCACCTCAGTTTCACTCACATTTTTGAAAAAATACGGACAAGGTTTGATAAATAATCATTCCATTTTGATTTCAAAAAACCACTGAAATCAAAGACATGGTATGATCATAATCTAGAAACTTCATTCATACAAGGAAAATCTATTTACATCCTAATAATTTTTGAAGTGGCGTTTGTTCGTCCATGGTTCTTCAGTATAAATGCACTACCTTCACGAGAGTTTCTTAGATGAAAATAAAATCACAATGAATACTTATTCTACAACATTTTTCAGCTTGACCCGTAATTCTAATGAAAAGTTTTCATATTAATTCAGATATTCCCAAAAGTTGACAATACTTTGATATTCCGAAGTGACACTGTACATTTAACACGTATTACCGATTAGTACTCTAGAAAACAACTAAATTCAGTAATCACCTAAAAAATACGATAAGCTTCTAAAAGTCTTCAATTCATAATCATATTGGGGACCATAGGGTTCTGTAGGAAATAACGATCGGTAAGGGGGAGGTATATAACACGAATACCGAAATAAACATGTTATAAATGTTGCTCGCTTAGAAAAGCAATCACATAAAAGGGAAGTGTATCTATGTGTCTGGATCTGTAGTCATCCATGTAATCGACATAACGTTAAAAACTATTTTTAATAAGAAAACTATGGATAAAGCACTTGACAACATTTATCAGTTATTTTGCCCATGAACCAGTCATGGATAAAGCGTGTCCTATTAGCTTGTGGAAATTCTCATTTATCAATGTATAGCGAAACTGCTCCGGTTCTGTCATTCTACGGCTCCATTTTACACATTTACCTGATCGTGTATGTAGATTCAACGTAGTTAAAAGTCGAGTTTCAAGCCATTTTATTTATAACTGTTTCATGTTAGTGAAAGGGCGATATCGTTAACACAGGAATTTTAAGGTTCAGCAAGAAAATAGTTTTTAAAAGTTAGTATTCCTGGTTTTTGGCAATTGCATCTATTCGTACAATTCAAGCATTCTCCATAAATGTATATCAATTCAAAAAAAATAAATTTATCTAAATCTTGGTGATTGAATCGAATCATTTCAAAATTTGATTCGTCAGTCTCGTCCGAGCTTCTTCAAGAAAATAATCAAGTATAAGTATTGTTTAATACAACGCCACAAAACAGCAATGCAGTAAGATGTTGAATATATTTTGAATGTTTGTGTTTAAGCGGCATCGTGTGAAGAAATGTATCTACAGATATGCAATTTATATTTGATGGCCGGTAACTACGTATGTCGTCCTCGGTTATGGTGGGGATGAAATCTGTAATCCTGGCTAGTAATCGCAAACTTGTCAGAGTATTTGCAGGTAAATAAATAAATAAACAGATCACTGTATGAATATTTAGGAAGTTATGTTAACCAAACGAGTTATCACAGTCAATATTGAAACAAGATAACTGATTAAACAAAGAAATGCTGTTGTCCACATTCAGTGACTCAGGAAAGGACATACAAGTGGTAGTTTAGCATGGAGTTATCCTCATCGACTACAATACTTTATGAAACAGTTCCGTAGTTAACGTACTTTTATACACTAAGAGATATAATACCAAAAAGAGTTAAATTAACGTTACTAGAAACAACAGTATTAAAAATAAATAGTTATTTCGAAAAAGACAAAAAACGCAAATAATTTCTGTTATGCTTTGACTAACCGATCGGTCCATCTATTATATATGATTCAATCTTATCAAAATAAAGCAGTAAAAACCTGTTGGGCAAAGTAACATGAAGTATTAAGAGTTTAGATATCTGTCAACACTCATCTTTAAAGCCTTGTCCATGCCAAAATCTTAAGCTTAATTAAGGTGATAATCTTATTTGATTTTAATAGAAATAAGGATGGCTTTTGTCATGGGTAGTATCAGTTTAAGAAGACAAAAGAAAACCCAGGCAGACATAACCCCTAGTTTGGGAAATCTCAGCAGTACCCATTCACAATTTAATATGATTGTCAACGATAAATTTGAATTTTCTAATATTATGTGATCCAATCTTTCTCACTGACCTTAATAAATTTTTAGTCTATCTTATTCATCAAAAGAGTCATAAAATAGTATTTTTTTAACTGAATATGACTCTTAGGTCATAACTATTTACGTTTCCCAGAGTAACTGATTTATACCGATAACTTGTTGTCATAGTTAAACATTACACTGTCTTCGTAAATATAACGTAAATTTCTTTAAAGGTTGTTATTTATTAAATAAATGCCCATTTTCAAGGATTTTTACCGTTCTACATTGGTTTTTAGATGTGTAACATGATTACTTAACAGCTGGTATTTATTTTCCGCATTGTCATATATAAAATTTAGAACTTTCTGGTTTAAACTACTATTTCAGCATGCATATTTAGGTTATAAATTGCTAATATTTTATTATGATAAACTTGCCTATGTATATATGAAGTTGTCCTTGCTAACAAAAGGAAAACAAGTAATTTATAGGAGTTAACTATGAAAGATATATTACCTAGCAAAAATACTCAATTATATCAGAATTGGTTTCAAGCCTTATTTCTAATGAAGTGAAATCATATTACTTGATAGTGTGATGTTTATTGTAAGATCAAATGAGATTTCATGAATGTAACTTTATTAATCAGTTAAAAAAGTTCGCTAGAATGAAATTTTATATCCTGTTCTATTTTTTAACTTCAAAGGACTTTGAGTACGATTGTTCATTTTAGCGAAACTGTTCTGCTCGATAATCCATCATCTAATCTTTTACAACTCTTTTTGTATTAGTTGAGGGATAATTAACCAAGTTTAAGGAAATCGATTGAACGACTTCGGATGCCAACTACTCTCGTAGCATAAAATAACACTCTTTTCTTCAGTTATATTTGATTTCTTTCATTTTTAGCATACAAGATCGATTCACTTTATAAAATAAACCGTTTATACACTGAAATAACATTAGAATTATGTATGTGAGTACCTTCACTGGTGTCTTGATGGAGAAAGAAAGACGAAATGTTATAAACAAAAAATGAAGAGAGTTTTGAGTAAAATTTAACAGTTCCACGTTGCTATGGTTTATTGAAATAAAAATATTGATAGATCGGAATATTTGCTCAGAAAACCCCATAACTTAAATTTATCTTCCGCCGCTGTTCCCGTCGATTAATAAAAGTGATATTAGTTGAAGAATTATTGAAATCAACATGCACTTGAACAGTGTTTCTTCTTATTTTAGAACTCTCCAACTGTGCTAACCCACAAATCTACATAAAAATGGCTTGAAATTGATATCGGCGACATAGATGTTATTTCTAGTTATTTGTTTCTTTGGTATCTGATCCACATTCATTATGTTATCAAAAGATTTGAAGACTTTTATCAGTGGTCAAGTGTACTTGATCATATTTTTCTATTAATACCCTTTTAGCCAAAACAAACAGAAACAAGATAAGCGAAAACCCCAGTTCTTTTTAGAAGATATGTATTAAGGAATGCACACTTCTGCTTAAAACAAATTCCTTTTACATTTATTTATTGCTTAAAGATAGTGCTTGTCAAGTTTCGAACCCTTCAAGTGAAAAACTATTAACAGACAGTTCCATTCACCTCCCTAAGATTAATGAACAGCAAGTTCAAAGAAGTAAATTGCTTGAAATGAATGACTGCCAAACTCAGACAATTTCTGGCACGTCAGAAGAAGTGACTACAACAGATTCAAACCAGTTTATTACCTCTTCATCCCAAACAATGTATGGTGAAGGTCATAATCATAACTGTATGTGCAATTCGTGTCTTGCATATGAATGTTCAGAGGAACATGCTGGTAATAAATTCAAACGAAGCAGATATCGTGTCGCTAGGTGAATACACTTTTCTTTTACAGTTGCAGTTTCTAACAAGTATTTAATGTAATATATATTATTATGCTTTGATGACTTTATATTCGCCGAACTAACTATATTATTTGTTGTGTTCTTTTTCACTCTAAGCAGCTTAACTGTGTTATCACAGATAGATATGAGAACACAAAGTTCAAAAATCTCAACAACCTTGCATACTAAAATACGATTATGTACTTACTAGGGACTAAATTCAAATGAAGCGTCCCGTGATCAATGTGATTCAAGCATGTTGGGCGTCAAGCAATCAATGTTTGTAAATATTGTCAGCCATTGGTAGTTAGAAACGCAAAACATTAAATCACGACTAAGCAGTTAAAATATTGTGCACTCGTCACGAGGTGTGAATACTTTGAGTTTGATCCTGGATAAAATATTAGGTGCGTAAAGCTTCAGGGACCCATTCCAAGAAGAAACGGATGTCTGATTGCCCTTAATTTTCAATGATCGTCTGACTAACGTTACTATTTGATATAAATGATACGTAAAAGAATTTCATTCTCTTTAAATGCTCAATATTTTGACAATTTAAAAAAATTTAATTAGTTTTCAAGTAACACTATTTACACTTTTAAAACTTTCGAATATTAAAATTTTAAGCTGAAGAACAACTCCAGAGAGTCTGCCCTGAGATAGGCTGGTAACAAGGTTGTTCGTCCTAATTTTATTTTATATGAAATATTATATTTCAGTAATACAGTGATTTTTATCGTTCATGATAGATCTTTCATAAATGGTCGCTCACAACTTGATTGGTGGGCTGATGATATTCGAATAGCTCCTTCAGCTGGTGCTTTACTTCTGGGTCATACTGTTTTGGCTCCAAAGTATAACGAGGGTAGTCGGTTATTTATGGGTACTGTACTTTCACAGGTAAATTCTTGCGTGTGGTTTGATATTCATTGTTTAGACTTTACATTTCGAATTCCTAGTCTTTAATGAATAGCATCATGTTAAGTTCACCAAATCTTAATTTTTCATTTTAAGTTACTCAGCATCAGATACCAAACATTGCAATATTAAGGATAGCGGTAATAGTAATTTATTTGTCAAGTACACATTTATGAGCTTAGCTTTAAGAAAAAAGTTCGTGTGAATGCTTTTGATACTACTCGGCTAACCAAACAGAAGTAACTGAAAAGGGACGTCTTTCATGCACAACACTGAGGAAGTCGAATCATTACCGCTGTAGAATAATTTTTCATGACTGCGATTCATTTACATGTTAAAATAAACTAAACGACAAACTGATAGTAAATATCTTGTATACTGATATTCTTAGTAGGTTCTCATAATTTCCTCAAACTAATTGCTTTTATACAATTTATAGGTAGATTACTGCACGTTTATTATCTGCTTTGAAGACCCTAATTCAAAAATAAAACATCGTGAAAATATTCAAGAAACTCATGTACATGAACTACTATCATATTTGGATTTTCATCGTCACCCTGTTGATGCAGGAGATTTTGTTCTTGTACCTCAGTGTATATCTAATTGTAAGGAATTGAATCATTCACAAAAGCATTATCTTATTCCTTATTATGTTGCGAAAGTTTTATCTGGTTACGAATCGCGGTCATCGATTAGAAACGGTAATTTCCATTTTGTGGTGATTTTTTTTTCTTTTTCATAAGGGAACATTTAACTCATCTGATAAATAACCGTATAAGCCTAGAGTGACTTGTCTTCATCTAATTATTGAAAGTAACCGTTGAAAATCTACAAACTTTGGTTCAAATGTATAACAGATTAATAGGTAGAGCTATTTTTATTCCGTAATATATACATCGAATTAGTTGCATTCATGTGAGACATTTTGAAACTATACAGTTAAAATATTCCCTAACAAATAACGTCTTATACGCATAATTGTATACATTTTTCCAGCATGATAGGAAATGAACTGTACTACCAAACATTTCAACTGAAAACTCACAAGGACAACCAATACATATATAAATCTTTATTAAACGAATAAAAAGAGAGAGCATAAACTACCCTGTTAATAAGATCCTATTAGGTCACTGAAGAATTTGAATATTGAGATAGCACATCCTTTGTTAAAATATCGAAGTTCAGCTCTAGATTGGAATGACATTCATTGCAACAATGTTCATCAGCCGTCATGTAGAATGGTTACTGTTATATAGTTATCTACTTTTTTCCGTTTATTAATTTTTCCAGTATATAGTTAAATAGTTTTTTCACATAGTTGAAAGGGTTGTGGTAATTCTGTGGTGTATGATAATTTCACTGTGCCTCTGCGTATCGAAAGTTTACGTGAACCGGCTTTTTCACTAGTGCGTTACTAAACGTAATGCCTCAGATTTAAATAGTTGCATTCACTCTACTAAATCTGTGAAAACAATTGGAATAATTTGAGCTCGGTCGATAGCATTCAAATTACTTTGTGTAAGAAATAGTAACTTTCTAAAATTTTTAAGAATATTTTACCTATAAAATAATATTTGGTAGACTGTTTGCAAAAATTAAGAACGAGTATAACTTTCATCGTTATGAGATTGAGTTTTGCTTGGAAAAATCAAACAAACGTTGTTGAATAACCACCTGTATTATCATAACTATCTTAGAACCCCTTTAAGATAGATATAAATGAACAATAAGATTTTATTCATGAGTTACATTCCTCAATAATGTTGATATTTCACTTGTTTGGACAATGTTTGGACTGTTGCGATCTCTTACCACTATTCTTAGGGAAAATTGCTCACGATGCAATAAACTGTGGTATCGCTCTATGAAGTCATAAGTGTATGTACAGACCACGTGATTGGAGTCTACGAGATAACTGCAATCAGTGATCGGATACTTTGAATAATAAGGCTCAAAAGCAGTCACAATGGTGAACATCCATTCCCTCTTTGTACTTCTCGAGATCCTCAGTTTCAGTATTTCTTCGTATTTACTTTCTACTTCACCTTTTCAAATCATACATTCAAATGTCAGTTTTTCTTATTATCAGTATCACTCTCACTACATTATTTCAATTATTTTGCCACTCATCCTTTTAAACTCATCTTGTTCTGTTAATAATATATGGGAACTTGTGCCAACGCAAATATTTGTCGGGCTCTATTTTGTTTTTGACTGATGATATGGTGAACTAATAGGAGCTAGGGTACTATTTTATCTTTTTACTTATGTTACTTGTTTTTTATGAGTAGTATCTTTGAACTTCGTAGCATTCTAAAAAACTCGTTTGATCACTTGACAATTGAGTTTAAAACGAACCCATTAATTACATTGCTTTCTTTAGTAAGACATCTAGTAATAATGTTTCCGCCTTACAATCGCGTTTCATTGCAAACTAGTTAATTTATTTTTTTGGGAGCTTCATAGTTTTGTATAGAAGCTTTATCGATAATATATTCACAATAAAGGACGAAAAGTGTGATGTAAAGAAAAATACATGTCCTTATGAAATTACCACCTATTACATAAGTCTATAACGAGACAAGAATATGCATCGAAAGTTTACTTTCATTTGATGTTATAGTTACTAAATTCCTTAGTTATTGTCGCTTATAAACCATAAACACTAGTGGAAAATTCAAAAAAACTTAAAATACCACTTCATATGTCATTGCAGTTTTGGTTATGGATAAACTCCTAATCTAATTTCAGAGAGAATTTAATCACTCTCTAGTTTTTATTAACTTTTCATAGTGGCATCAAAGTAGTATATGGATGACACTAGATGGTTCTAAATTGACCATGAGAAATCTCGAATTCGGTCTACGAATTAGAATTAACAGTTAGGATAAGAAATAATGGTTAGGGTTTTCATCATGAACCAACATCAACCGTAATGGTAGAATGCTCTTATAAACATATAAATGAATAAATTGTGCACAAAAACCCTTTAGGCGTTATCTTGAATTTAACTGCTTCATCCATATGCTTTAGTTCCACCTATTTTGTAAGTTAGGATATCTGTTGTTTAATATTTTAATCCATTTTCGATCGCATAACAACATATTGTATTTTTGATTTTCTTAAATGGATTTTGGGATTCACAGTGTCAGATAAACCTGTAATGGTAGAATTTGTCAAAAAAGGAAATAGTGAAACAATTCCAAGTACCAATTTTAAAATTCCATTCAACACCGCTATATGGATACCTAATGATCTATTTCAAAAGAACTTCTTATCAAGTAAAATCCAGTGGGAATTTACTCCCACCGAAGAATCAAATATTTCAGAATCACAAACAGGTTGCACTTTCCCAAATGGTACCAATACTACTAGATTAACAAACAGTGCAGAAATACCAAACACTGGGATGGTCAAATCAAATGAAAATATATTACGACCATTCAATCAGTTAGCTCCATTTTCTGTCGGTGGTGTTATTAGCAAAAACAACTCCACTAATAATGATAATGGAGAAACGAAGATGAATTATGCATATACTAAAGATCAATTGGACCAGTTGAAGAGTGAATTTATTGATTCAGATTATGCTTCAAGTATGGACGAAGGTGGTAGCAGTAGTAATCATCAAAGAAAGAAAAGCTGCAAGTCAGAGTCAAATATCTTGTCTGAAGCATTTCATGATTTTCATTCAGATATTGCAAGTCGATTCGTAGAGAGAAAAAGTTGTGAAGATGAACGAATTCGACGTCCTATCAACGCTGAAGGTACGAAATTATATATATAATAAGCTTTTTTGATTAGCCAATGCTTTTGACCTGCAACACAGACAAAAATATCGATATACCTATCTAAAATCCAGCACACTATGCAACAATTATCTCTATGTCACTTAATGGTTATAAAGCATGTCCTGTGACGATAGAAGACAAGTCTAGTTTACTAGTATTTGGTGTAATCAAAGAATTGCTCGCGTTTGGTGAAGTGACCTAATGACTAATACTTACATTAGTTTTGAAGTACTAGATAAACATGGCAAATAGATTGATGGGTGTTCCAAAGCCCCTGATTTTAATATCTTTTATTCGTAACTAGTTACCGTCTTCATAACACCAGATGCCTAACCAGTACAAGGGTAGACTAGAGTAAAGTTGAGGAATGGAAATTCAAGAAACAGCATTAATCGCCGATGTCACTAACTGTTGAATTGAGATTTACTAAGAGATTTGGACTTTCTGGTTGATTATAGACCCTAATTGATATGTCTCAAAGCCTGTAACAATGAGGGGGGATGTTTTCATTCTTAACTAGTAATTCTCAAATTTAAGTATCATTCCATACTCCTCATTCCTAAATTTCATTATTATGGTTATCACTCAATTCTCAATGGCATAATGGTTTCGGCTTCTTTGTGTTCATTTCCTCTCACTGCGCTGATATACCTAGAGTGTGGCAACTTGTATCCAAGCACATTTGAGTGAGTTCTTTCGTCTTATCACTACTGATGGATTGAGAGGAAAACAGCTCATCCCTTTAAATGTGAAAATTATGTTTGAAATAATCTCAGTAATTGAGATAATTACGTTAGTCTGTAGGAGGAGATTACATCATGAAGTTATTCATCGTCTCTTCATACTGTTATGTGGAAAATTAATTACCCTTTTTCTTATTCGGAAATTACTCTTAACCCCCCTATATTTTTCTTCAACCTCTTGATCATCACTCAACCTTCTTTTGATTTTTGAAATTACTTCATCGAAATTGGCTGGATTTTCTTTATTTTTATTCAATAGCACAACTTGTTACTTTAATAAAAACTAGCTAATAATCCAAATTGTTGAACATGAACATCAAAGTAGAACTGTTTCATTGAAATCATGAACCGATCAGTGTTAGACCACCATTAAAATTCTGAAAGCACTGGACGGTCCTTTCATGCTAGTACCGGACTCTCCAGCGGTGCTCATCCACGACCTCGCAAGCGGGAATAGAACCCAGGGCCTTCGGTCTCGCGCGCGAACTTTTGATCTCTAAACTACAGAGCCGTTATCCAACGGTGTTAAAGTCTTACTTCAATCGGTCCATGGTATTGCTTGACCATCTTTGAGATTTTGAATGATAGTCTAACGTTGATAGATTCATTATTTCAATAAAACTAGACAATTTTCACAACCCTACACTAAAAGTAAAAGTGGATCAAAATCCAAATATATAGACTAACAAATACAGCCGAAAATAAGAGAAATGTTAAATAATTTGTCATGGTCCAGGATCTGTATAAAGGGAAACTGAAATACGACATTGAAAATATTACAGACAATTAATATTCAACCAATTAATCAGTCACTCAACTGAACAATAAAAAAAGGAAAGAAAGCAAATTATCCAATTGTTATTTTAGGTTTCAATCAACATTCATTTCCCTGTTTACTGATTACGAGATATTTGAAAGAAAAGCATTCATCACAGTTCTGTTGAGACAAGGAATACTTTATCACTCATTTTCACGCATACACACACCAGTTAGTTTTTTATATCTGACTTGTGTGGTTGTCAGGTATCCTCACTTTCGTTTACTTGAATACCATAAAGTATTTTATCCTTCCTTTGACTACTGTCTCTTCTGTTATTTTTGCAATCCTTTTAATATGGATTTCACGCTAATTCATGAATAAATAAATTTTTAATAGTAATACTGATTGCATTGATAAAAACCGTAATGATAGTGAAAAAATTATGCCAGACTAGAAAATAAGGTAAGTGAATTCACTTTTCTATAGAAAACCAAATGAATGATGTGAAATCATGTAATTTGTGGATATTAAAAAATGACTGAACTGACTCCTATTGAACCATTGAAAAGCCAAGGATTGATCAGTACTTGTTTAATTTTAGTTTGAGACAAGCCATTTTACTACAGTTATCGTGATTAATATGATACAGTTCAGATATTCTTGACTCCAGTCAATTTTTGTCTACCATTCATTAATGACTTATTTAATTCCACCACCTTAAACCTGTTCACTTTTAATTACATGATTGAATAATTTATTCAGTTTATGGATCTGTTAATTTTTCAATCTTTACTCACTTCTGAGCATTGGGATCGATGTTTAGGCAAGGAAGAGTACAGCACATTGATTTCATTATCAGTCAGTCAAAAACAAAATAGAGCCCGACAAATATTTGCGTTGGCACAAGTTCCCATATCATATTAACAGAACAAGATGAGTTTAAAAGGATGAGTGGCAAAATAATTGAAATAATGTAGTGAGAGTGATACTGATAATAAGAAAAACTGACATTTGAATGTATGATTTGAAAAGGTGAAGTAGAAAGTAAATACGAAGAAATACTGAAACTGAGGATCTCGAGAAGTACAAAGAGTGAATGGATGTTCACCATTGTGACTGATTTTGAGCCTTATTATTCAAAGTTCTTTTCAATTAGTTTTTCATCATGGCTCTACACTTATATATATATATATATATATATATATATATATATATATATATATATACATATGTATATATTGATTGAGATCATGAACCGATCACTGATTGCAGTTATCTCGTAGACTCCAACCATGAGGTCTGTGTATAGCCACACAGCCGAGATTTTCAATCAGTAAGTTCGTGGACGGACGCCACGTTTCGGTTGTAGCTCAGTTTAAAGATATTTCTGCTTCTCACTAACTATTATTCTTTCTTTTGATTAGCCTGCAGAATATACAACCAGGTGAAAGATGTTGCAACATATATAGATCCAGAATTGCAATATGGGAAAATGTATATTAAATGGGTTAAAGACCAAGTTAAGCCTATGAATCGTCCAGAATGGCGGTACTGGGGGGCTAAGCCTATACCACAACTAACTGCACCTCCAACGTTTGAACCTTTCAAAGATACGGTTGCCTGGAGTAGGTCAGATCGCTTAAAAACTACAGGTAAGTTAATTTCATTTGTTATAGAACTTTCTTTGTTTGTATTCAAACTAAATAATGTTAGCAAAATGTTTATAATATCTACCTTCTATATATTGATTAACTAATACTAAATGTGATTTTATGTAGTTTAATTTTCTATGATACATATAAATATTGAAGCAAATGCTCGCAATATTTCTGTCTATTGGTGGGGGAACGTGTCATAAAAAATTAGTTACCTTAACTATTCCAGACAGTGGAATCTTTTTTAAGAAAAAAGTTATTAATTAACTATGATATATAAAATATATGAGAAGACACAATTACTAATTTAGTTGTCTTTTATATAAGCGGAATAATCAAAGTTACTTTTGTCATCAATATTTGTCGCAATTATAAGTATTAAAAAAAAACAACTATAATAATAAACTGATAATTAACAGAGAAAAACAAACAAACAAATTGGATCATTAAAGTTAATGCTGAAAAATAAATTAAGTTAATTAATTAGAAAAGAATTGAATTCCCTATTTGTTAATGCTAACTGTTGTTCTTCATAAAATCTTAATGATTTTCATAATAATACTAGTTTTAAGCAATGAGTACTAGAGTGAACAATAGTTCTTCATAAATTCTTTATCGGGCTCTACAGTTATAAACTAAAGATTATTATTATTATTATTATTATTATTATTATTATTATTGTGTCAAAACTTGTTTTGTAAATCGAAAATGCTAAACTTCTCATAATGTAAAATAGCTTCATTGATAATGTCATACATAAAGAATACAAAAAAATTATCTGCCTTAATTAAAGTGATAATGAAAATTCCCATTTCGACATTTGGTAAATAACGAAGAAATTTCTTTTCAATTAGTTTTTCATCATGGCTCTACACTAATATATATATATATATATATATATATATATATATATATATATTGAGATCATGAACCGATTGATGTTAGACCACCATTGAAAACCTGGAAGAACTGGACGGCCGTTTCGTCCTGTTGTGGGACTCCTCAGCAGTGCGCATCCACGATCCCGCTCGCAGGACTCGAACCCAGGGCCTTCAATCTCGCACGTGAACGCTTAACCAACTGGACCACTGAGCCGGCATCCAATGGTGTTAATGTCTAATCTTAACCAATGCACGAAGTTGCGCGACCATCTTCCATTGTACTGAAGTAGACAGTTGTTTCTACCTGACACGGATTATATATATATATGATATACCATAATCAAATAATACTCGTCGAGCGGATATATTACGTAATAATTACACAATGACATTTCGATCATAAATTAACATCGAGTAATTTATATATATATATATATATATATATATATATATATATATATATATATTAGTGTAGAGCCATTATGAAAAACTAATTGAAAAGAAATTTCTTCGCTCGATTCGTTTCTTCTTTAAAGTGATAAGTTCTAATCAATGAAATCAAACTGTATGTAAGAACAAGGGAATATAAAATAGGAATTGTTGTGTCACACTTGTTAAGATAATAAAAAAATAATGATGATATTGAGAGTAATTATTGGTAAGAACATCATATAAAATAAGAGAGCTGAATAAATAATGAAGCATAAGCAAAATGTCTTGGAAGTTAGTATATAAGTCACATTGAAGGTGGAATGAACTTGACATTATATTTATACACTATTGATCTGATGGTCAGTATTGCTGCTGCAAATGAAACGATACTACGTTATATTGATCTATAAATTCCATGTTACCATTTAATAATCTTTTTAAATATTACACTTAACTCTTAATATAGAAGTTATTCAGTAGATTTTTAATGCCATTTCAACTACGTAGAATTAAAGATTGTTGTTAACAAATAGCATATACTATAACAAAATACACTGAGTAGGTAGGGCTTTGAAGTCATCATCTTTCTTCCAGTTAGGTTCATTGATAAACAGTTAAGTGATACTAATGACTTTTCTCATTTGAATCTTAATTAGATCAACTTGTATATGAACATAACTAGTCATAAATGATTAGATACATTGTGTAAACTTCGTTATGAGTGAACTGTACATAGATTATTAAGCAGGTCAATTAGATCTTTTTCTATGCTATTAGATGAAGCAAATTTTTCAAAAATTATGTACGTAGAGATTGTTTCTTGTAGCACAAAACATTAGTACTTTAAGTAACATCGTTAATTTATAAAAATAATTCAGACATCTAGATATCGTTATTTTTTAAAATGTAATTAAATTATCATTTACACTATTAAGTACGGGAAACTGTAAAGGTCAGCTACTACGTCGTGATGATTTTGCATAACAATATAAGTATTTATAATTTCACAATGCATATTACTAATGTAATTACTACATCAAACATATTTACTAAATTATAATAACTATATTGATTTGATAAGAACTGTTGGACGAAATGCTTTAAAATAATAAGTTACTAACTTCACGGAAGACACTTTCAGGGATCGAAATTAAAATGGTTATTTGTACGGACTGAAAATATGTCAACAAACGGTTTCCAGATTACAGAATATATAATAAAAGAGTTGACTAAATATTTTTATAGAATGTTAGTTTAACGTTATCTCAAAGTTTGCTGTTCATTTGAATTACTAATTCGGATATGTAATTATAGAATGTAATTAGAAAGTATTCAAAAGAATCTACTCGATTCACACATTTGCATTATAGAGCATATAATTAAAAGCTAAGTTAGTTTAGTAACCAAATATTCTCTCAATTGCAGGTTTAAAACATTTATAAGAAGAGTTATTTGAAATATAGTTGAATAAAGTAACGTATTACTATTGTCGTCATTAATTAATCATTTCTTATTTTTAATTTAAATCCCTTTCCATTTGTCTTCACTAATTTGTGATTTTCACCAACTGAATCCTTTCATTTATGTAAACTCCGTAAATGTTGTATAATGATGATTACACAACTTATCGAATTTTTAAATCTGGATAATCACTATCACACCACATATTTTCGTTACAAGCCAATCTAATTATTCGATTGGTGTCTATATATCACACAAAGAAATTAGAAATATTGTAAAAAGTTAATTAGAAATTTTTATCTAATTAAACATTCATAATAAGGACAGAGAAAAACATTCTCCGTAAATCTTGCAAATCCGATGTGTGACGGATAATCACTTTCTCAGAGACATTTTTGTTTGAAACCAGTGGCAACTGTACAGGAACAAATACAACACAACGTAGAAAAGAGGACTTTCGATTTGTACATACTCATAACCCTGAGGGTGGCTTTAACAAAATTGGTCGTTACCTGCATAAGTAGCTAAGCGTGTGGCAGAAAAGCTTGAATCCATTTTTCCTTTTTCGTCCAAGATAACGGGAAGAAGCGGAATTTTCCCTCTGAATTTTATTCGAATAAAGATGGAATCTAGAAATGGTACTGATATACTATAGACATTTCTACCATTCAGCACTCTTAGTGCACTTTAAGAAACAGTTGAAACGTCCTCCAAAGAAAGCATGTTCACATGATGTGAAATCACGATCTTTAGGACGTTATGTTTGATGCAGATTCTGTAAAAATTACGGTGAGCTACTGGGAAGTCAGCAGGTAACAGACTGCTTATGCTAGGGCGGCCGTCACTAAGTTGACACCGGACAAAACTTTGTACCAGCAAAATACTAAAAATATTCCATTCACGTTGGCATTTCGGCTGCTTATAAATCTGAATGCTTCTGACACAATCTTCGTTAATGCACTAGTCCTACTAACTGGCGAGGTAGTATTCTTTCCTTGCTATACTTGTAGGTAGCTTTACTATCTGTGGCATCTGAAAAGCAACTAGCAATGTTTATCTCATACTGTGATAAGAAATAGTTCTCGGGTTTACTGTTTGCATTACTGTGCGTCTGCGCTTCGCCTTCGAACTCGAAGATATATGCTCCAAATGTTTCAAGACTGCCTATTAGGTAGAAGTAGTCATGAAAGTTAAATGGACTTGATAGTTTGACAATTTGAACACTTGGCGATACATAATAGCGACATTCTGGAACTACTTTTATGATTTATCTAGTGGGAGAGGATGAAACGATAAATCAAAATATAATCTCAAACCCTTAAAAATTTAATTCTCGTTAACTACACATCGTTGAAGGTAAACAGAAAGGTTGTGTTTATCTTTTGTATATACATATGTTGGATTTCTTTAGACTGAAATCAATTACTTCATCTATGCAGAGTAAACGTAATCTTACGCCTTTTGGTTGATTATTAGGAACCTGATTTATAATTAAGAGGGCATCTTCAGTTTTAATGTCATATCAGAAGATAATTTAATGGGAAAGACCAACACTGTTGGTAGATTTCGTGACACTTTTTCCTCTTTCAGCTTCATTTCACCTAATAAGGTTTGTTTTTCAAATATCTTATTCAATTAATTCTCATATATTTAATATCTACTATGTATAAGTTTGACAAATAAAATTTCCAAAATATTTGATAATATAAGTTATACGCCTGATATTTCGTGGTTTATTATTTGTTCAGAACTGTTAAACTTTCCCAACAGCTTACTGTTTTTCACAAACTGGACTTGATAAAATAAGACTAGCTGATTCTGTCTATTTAACTTTATCAATTAAAACAATATCAACGATAATAATATACTCAGCTAACTTAGAATGTAACCTGTCGAAGTATTCAGTTACTCATTCGAGTTCAATTATCTAATATCGCAATTCAACAGCAAAGAAGAACACTTCTTTTTTAAGAAAAAGAGATGATCGATTGTTGTACCACAACCTAGTAAAACATCTTTTCTGGTGCAAATAAAATGTGTCGTTTTTAAACATCTCCAACCGTAGGTCAGTATTGATGTTATACTGCTGTGGATGTTACTCACAAGATTGCTTGTAAGAAGTACGTTGTGGCCTCTAAGTTGTCAGACAGAATGAAGAGTTTTAGTACAGCGGATGATGAAGTTAGCAGAACACTTGGAGACTAGACAAGAAGACAGTTCAGATTGCTAAATCCACCGAAAGATGCGAATAGATGAATAAAGGCTATGTATGTGTATTATGTAAATGCTATGCAACTTCTCACAACAAATATACATTCCTTCTACCTATTACCTTATTTAACAATACTAATGTGGGATAGTGAATCAGTCAGCTAAATATTCCCCTAGGTTTTGATCGAATAGTCTAGCGTACATATTAAATGTTATATTCGGATTAGATTCATATAACACTTTTAAGTACCTTAACGTCCTAGAAATGTAGTATATTCAACTTTAACCTCAGCAATCTGAATCGGCCTTTGTCAAAGACATCATCAAATTCGAAATAACTCAAGCCAAATTAACACATTTTCAGGAAGCAATGACGACCAATAGTTTTGAGGTGCTCATATATTGTCATTTTTATTTAAGAACTATTTTTATTTTCCACTGAAACCTATTAGATTAAGCGTGGTATAATTAAATCTTATTCAAATTAACATTTCTCTAATTAGCCAATATATACTTGTTCGGTTAATGATTTTAATAATTTACATTATTTTTACCACTTCATAAGGTAATATCCTACGTCCGGAGATTCACTTCAATAAATTTTCATCTAATCGAAAATCAACTGATCATTACAATTCAAGAAACGTAGGGTTGTGGTTGATGGACTCTTCACTTTCGAATAAGGGTATATTGAAAAAGCAATACTCAAGGTTAGTGGTTTTTTGATTGTTATCTAATTATCTATTTGTGAGCTATGTATTTTCAAGTCGTCTGAAAAATCTGATTATTTCGAGGGCATGACAAATATTGAAAGAATAATGATTGGTTTATGTATTATAGAAATATATGCTCAATGTGTCCAAGTGCATACTAATTCATGCCTAATCATTTAAGGATATAGCATGGTGGAAGCAGATTATCTCTGACCGTGAACACTTTCGAACTTGAATCTAAACTGGCAATAGTGTGGTTACTGGAGCTCATCATTATTACTGAAAAAGAAACCCTTACACTGTTTATTGTCTTCCACATCCATCTTAAAACATTAGTGATAAGGGAATAAACCATTCCCGATTTCCTGATTTTCGTAATAATAGGTTTGTGTTATTACTGACTGTTATCCATTGCTTTCTTTATTAAATGTAAGTGCACTTTGTGCGTCGTATGCTACTGTGCATGATCCCCTAGTAGGCTATGTACCTTCAGGCTAGCGTGAACTGCCACATATAAAAGGGAGGAGTGAACGACCATTTATTAATGTGGGGGAGGGTGTGAATAAAAACGCTTGTACATTACTGTATCATTCAGAGCGAATGACACCCACCCCCGCATTAATAAAAACTGTCCACCACTTCCCTTTTACACACCTTAAACCTGTTGCCGAATAATATTAGTAATTTTAGAAATGGTATAATCAGTTATCACTAATGTTTTAAGATGGATGTGGAAGACAATAAACAATGTAAGGGTTTCTTTTTCAGTAATAATGATGAGCTCCAGTAACCACACTATTGCCAGTTTAGATTCAAGTTCGAAAGTGTTCACGGTCAGAGATAATCTGCTTCCACCATGCTATATCCTTAAATGATTAGGCATGAATTAGTATGCACTTGGACACATTGAGCATATATTTCTATAATACATAAACCAATCATTATTCTTTCAATATTTGTCATGCCCTCGAAATTTATCGTTAGCTGTAAAACGAGACTACAGTATGGGGATTACTGGAAGTTGTAGTATTTTCACAGTTGAATTCATGAGTCGATCTGTGTTAGATCACCATCGGATCGTTCAGTGCTTTCAGGTTTTCATTGGTGGTCTAGCTTAAATCGATTCATGAATTCAACGTTGAAAAACCACAGTCGTTTCAGTATCAGCTTATTTTCTGGTCATAAAACCTAGTAGATCTAATCATAAAATGGCTTTTCCCCGACTTATGGGCTTCAATGAATTACCATGTCTCAATCAACATTTCACTTAAAAGCTTTACTGCTTCTTTAATATCACTAGTGTTAAAGTTACTGGTCCCATTGAATTAGCCCTTTATTTACTTTCGTTTTTATGGACTGGACAGCGACTGTGGAAACTGAGATATTACCCCGTTTATGTAGGGTTTCTATTTACCATCTGTATAAAGAAAACATTATCTCTTCTACTAACCAGTATATCTAAGAAGAGAAACTAATTATTCATCTCCTTCTCACATGTAACACTAATATAATTTTGATGTATAGTGAATTCTTTTACCAAGCTGTTTGCATCCTCACGTTTGTTATTCGTGATTATCATACCATCCAGGTACCTCTTTTAAAGTCAATTTTCTTGAACTGACTTCTAGCCTACCATTCTGATGTATACACTAAACAGGTTAGCAGTGGCCCTAAAGGACTAGCCATAGTTGCACCATCAATCTGTCGAAAGTGCTTCCTTTAAAAGTGAATTTAACAGTTTTTAAAGGAAATGGCAAGAAAAAATCACTTAACGGGATATAGTCACACGGAATATTAATTGTTTTCCTAAGAGGCATATCTATATACAGAGGATTTACATCAAGGGTTCACACTGTCTCATTCTTGAAAATAATATTCTATCATGTAATCGTTTCTTTCAAATGGATCATTCAAAGAAAGCTTGCGAAATCGATTTTTAGTAGTTTTCAGTAGTTCTGTCAACCTTTTTAGTACGATTATGTGTGGGTGATCAAAGATATGAATAGGAGCAGACTTAAAGAGGTTATTATGCTTGTCTATATAAATAAGGATACACTTCATGCGCAGGTTTTGGTAATTTAAATTCTTCTTTAATAATCGCCTCACAATTTAACCGTTTAGATCAGAGAACACAACGCCATGAAAGTGGTTTATTACTATCAAAACCGGAAGGTTTGTTCTTCGTAGTAAGTTTTGTAAAATAATATGATATGATTTGAATTCAGAAAAGTAACTTAATTTGTTATCTAAACAGCTGACTGATTTGATTATGCAGCTATTTGATATAAGTTTACTATGAATGTCTAATAATGATTCCATGTAACATAGTCATTGCTTACAACTTTTACTGAACTTACATAATTCACTCTTTTTTTGACAAATTCTTTGGTATATTCTATTAGTTGTTCTAGCTTACCGAGATTAAACAATAACCGAAATGTTGGTAGTAGTAGCAGTAGTAGTAAGGATATAAATCGAAACACTATGGACAGTATTCGAAATCCGATGGATTATGACAGTGTGTGCCATTCATTACATGATAATCATCAGTTGCATATTCTTGGGTGTGACAATCAAACTAAACGAGCCGATTTTCCTGTAAGTTATTTATGCTTTCATTTAAATACTATTGAATATTTAGATTTTATAGAACTTCGTGTTAATCAAATTAATTACTAATTTTTGGACACATTTTCTTACTCTGTTTTATTCTGGATAAATTAAGAGGTATATGAAATTAACCGGGTGATAATCATTGTATTTTCCACCTAGAGCCTTGTTTCAATTAAAAAATAATTCTATCTAGGAATGCATAAAATACTTAGTCTGCGAAGTTCAGTCGTTTTTGGCATGAATTCAGAAAGCATAGTTTGGCCTTATTAACTTGAATCAAGTGTGGCTGAGGCGAGATGTTTATCTGTCAACTAAAGGATGTGTGTACTGCTTAACAACCCATTCGATTTTATTTTATGATTGTGAAACGTAGTAATAGATAAGCCTACGCTTCTGGTTTTTGAACATATATGACTTCGAAGCATCGGTCATGTTCCGTTGGACGATCGAACGAGCAGTGTTGCGATTAGACACAGGGAACTAGCGAGCGGCTAAATAGGCTGACCAAGTTGAGAACCTTCACCAGCTGAGGTGGTTGGAACTTGTATTAGGTATGCCTAAATACCTCTTAGCTCGACAAGCGATACTTGCTGCTCCAGAAGCAGGTTGTAAGAAATCTAACAGCGGTCAAAACAGAAAATGGCACAATTTCATGGAGCCGTTGATAATGAGACTGAGCCATGTTAATAGTTGCAGACTATTAAGTTAGGATCCACTCTATTTCTAAGACCGACCGTTGAAGACTTTGGATGATATAGGTTAAGAATCAGTCAGAATGGTTCAAATGATCTCACTCTGTCGTCTCTTGGTTGTTGAAACCTGAGATTATCTTACATTTTTCTGATCCACTCATTCATTCATCCTTTCAAAACTGTGCCTAATCTTTTGTAAAGCAAGAGATGATAAAGTGTGACAACTTGGACCGATGCATGTATACGTCAGATTCTAGGCTGCACATAACTGACTACCTAAAGTAACCTCAGCAGCACACACGGTTCCATACAGAAATGAACTGATAAGCTTTGAGTTTTGCTGTATGAATGATATGTACAAACCACTGAACTAAAAGCCAATAGAATTTAATTGTAATCAACCATTTGTTTGAATTCACAAGTCACAGTTACTCACCATTGAGCTTATGGTCATTTAATCTATTCCATCCGTTGATTGAATACTTTTTTACTTTCCTCTCTTTTATCATGGAGTCCTAAATCAATAGTCGATTATTCTATATTGAATCTTTTTAAAAATAAAATCCATGGGTTTTGTACCTCGAATAATTATTAGCTGTAGTAACACTGTATGATTTTATTTATACAAAAATAATTGTATTATTGACCTTTTTACAGTTGAATTGAATTGTGTGTTCACAAGTGATATTCTTTGAACAAGAGATGTGGTGTATATAATTCCACTAATATTGAACTCTCATTGGTAGAATGAAAATGAATAAACTTACCAATTACAAAAATTAAGATTCAAATAATATACAGTAAATATGTAACATTTGGACTCTTCAGCAAATTATGGTCTATTTAAAGAAGTACTATTTAATGCATAGAATTGTGTATATTCTTAGTATCAGGTTCCTTCAATAGTCTTAAACCTGGAATCAGGACTATTAATAACTAACATAGTTCGTAAAACAAACTTTCATAGAATAATTCTAACATTGATTTTTTGTATCATAACGTTTGCTTTCCTCAAATTGATATTTCTAAATCAAATTATATTTAATGTTCATTCTCTAAATAATACCGTTTATTCACATTTTATGAATAAAACTGTCATTTGGTAAATGTCTATTATATTAACTGCAATCAATAGTTATAAAATGCAATAGGACTAAACATAGATGAATGATAGCAAGCAGTGAAATCCAGGAGGTGCTTTTCGTTTCAAACAAAGTCTAAACATTAACATAACCAGTAAGAAATGAATGTAATAAGATTAGATCATGTTTAATATGATGTTTTCATTAGGACGTAATTTACTTATGAACCTATTATTCCATCTAATTAATTGATAACTTTCATTAATTACAGGCAAGAATTCGACCTAAATTAAATCTTCATTAACATCGAGAATCATTCCTCACAGTTTTTAATATTCAGTAAGTTAGTAAAAATGTTATATATAATAGTTGATCTCTGTTTGGCATCATTTTCAAGGCAATTAAATATTCGAAATATAAATCCACACTCAAATTACTTAAAAAACTAATAATTCATTTTATCTCAAGACGGAATAATAATAGTATTCGTAAAATGACTAGTCACTCGGTCGTATTCAACTGGGAATGTGTCGTAAATTTGAATTTGTCTAATTTCTACATCTTACATCAAAATAAATGAAAGATTGATATAAGAGTGATAAGTTAAGGAAATTAAATGTTATTGACGTTTGTTGGCTTCTGTGGATCCTAATGTATTGACACCTCGTTTTACTAGATTATATACGAGGAGAAAGATGTAAGTGAAAGGATGGTCAGCAACTAATAAGGTAACACCTGCCAGGTGTTTCTAAGTTTTAGAATGTCTATCTACAAACATATTCATAATGACCTCTAAAGATTAACCATATACCTTATTAACTGCCTTCAGTACTCTCTACAACACAGCAAAAACCTTTATTAAATGCCAGGAAAGAATAATGCGGAACAGTAAAGAACAACGGGTTATATACAAGAATCTATAAATCGTAACAGTAAATATAGAATGATTCCAAAAGCATGTGATTTCTTTACATAATAAGTCAAATGAAAAACTTTTTAATCAACGATCAAGAGAGATCACAGGAAAAGATTACATTAAGATAGAAGGCCTCCAACACTTTATTACGGAATCATCGATAATACACACTTTATGGGATTTCAACCAGACGTTTCTGTGCTGTTCATTCCTCAGACTCAAATTAACAGCTTTACATTTAGAAAGATTAAATATGAGACAAGTAACAGGAAACCATCATTCAATGAGCGACAAGAACCCATTCATTCTGAGGGGATTTGAAGAATCAGAAATTGCTATACGTACAATGAGATTATCTGCATATCTAACAAAAGTGTTTTCTGTAGGATATGGCAGATTGCCTATAAAAAGTGAGAAAAGAGGAGAAAATGGACCCTTTTGGCACAACATTTTGATATAGTAAAGACGTAGAATATTTCCCTCCAGAGAGGTAAGAACACACCTATCTAGTTATCCAGCTATCAGTGTTAACTCTGGCAAACTTGTTTGATAGTAGTAGTCTTGAAACAGAGTTATAATTTTTAAATACGCATCAAACATACTTCTTGCCCTTTTACAAACTGAAAACTATATTATGATGAAGAACAGCAGTACTTGAGGTATTTCTCTTGAATTTTTACGCAAACTGATATTGATCAATATAGTTCTTTATTGCATGCTGAAATAGGAGTAGCATTAGTTTTTCCATTGTCTTAAGAAAAAGCGAAGTTATTGCTATGAGTCTAAATTTTGCATTCTTATTGCCAGATACTTTTCTCAATATTGGGATTATCTTTATCTTTCTCCATATTTTTGGTATAAAATCAGTTTAGAAGAATTCACTAAAAGTGGTCGTGAATGTATAACACAAAACATCAACATATTTCTAAAAAAAGGTTTGGGTCAAGTCCTAAACAGTAGGACGAGTTAACTGAAAGGAGATATTTTCGAAAGTCAGTTTCAGTAAAAGTTCAAATACAACTCTTCCCTTAACTTATGGAAGAATCACATCAGATTATTGACCTACAAATGACTTAGTTACATGACAAACATACATTTGGGGACTTTCACTAATGCGTCTCCCACTTGTAAGCTTTTTAAATAGTTTCCATATATTTCAAGAACTTTTACAAGATAGGAGTATCTGAATGAGCATCTAATTCAGACGCGTAATTTCTTGGTTTATTAAACCATGTAGATCACCAGCGTACATGATCTATGTTGAATGATTGGAGACTTAATCGAGTTAGACGGGAATGGTGTAACGGACCAGCTAACATCAAAGTCACACCTCGTAGTCAGCACCTTCCGTGGATTACTCCATTGACTTATCAAGGTACCATAGATACTTTGAAGACTGTTCAACAAAAAAGACGTTATTACAGAAATATATTTGTTAAAGTAGATACAAGCGAAGGTAAGACCACTGCCGCACGGGCCAGCCCATGGCGTACAAATAACTGATGCGCGTTGGTTATCCTTGGCCTTGACAGGGATCGTCGATCGATTCGATATTCACTGGGCCTACAACTATTTAGCTTTCGAACTTCAGTGGAGATCTTATCCCCATGCGTTCTTCATTTTCCCCTCTGAAATCGTTTTAGTTATGGGGATGTAAGTCGGTTAAAACATGCAAAATTAGTTCCAGTGGGATAACAAATATCAAGGTAGGATTTAATATAGCAAGTGGCAACATCAACAATGTTTCCCAATTAGTCATTTGTAAATAAATCCCAGTTTGTCCTACGAAATGTTTTTTCAAATGTTGGATATTCTCCTCTGAATCGTTTTTATTTTTCAACTTTTTCCATCTGGTGTAAGAGTGTACTCTACGCAAGCTTCCTATATACTTTAGGTAGAACACAAATAATACAATGATCAGAACTAATAAATGGAACACATTACTAAATCATTAATGAAAACTAAGCATAAATGCGTATTCAGATGAGTGGGAAAATTGACAACATTTTAATAAACTTAATATGAAAGAAAGATATATTCACAAGAACTAAAATTACCACATATAATTGAAAGCGAATCAGTGAAGCGAGTAACAGGAAATTCAGTGAATTCATCAATAAAAACAGACAATGCATATGAAATTCAGTCCAAAGTCACATAAATGTTGATAACATAAATATAACTGTACCTGCTCAAGTGTTTTGGAGGACATTTTAATGTCAAACTGTCGATAAAAACGCGATTGATGACGAGTGATCAATTACAGTCTTAAACATGAATGGGAAATTTCAAACTAGTACAAATGACTCGATAAAGTCGTTTGAAAACTTAACACATGCAAATTTGGATCCACAACAGTCCATGTTTACAAATGTAGCTACACCGCCGCCACAATTTTTCTTATTGCTTGATCTGCCTCGATATTAAGTATTGAAACCATGTAGTGATATTAGGGAATCGTCGTGTAAATGTTCTAACTAGTATTCTTGAATTGTGATTACACCACAATTACGATACGCGTTTGGACTTAGTACGGACTGAAGGTAGCCCACCTTCCCAATTAGTGTTCGGGGGTTGGAATTTAGCAGATCAGGCATCGACGCCTGATTAGTGTTCATTGTTTTCAATGCCGGCCATTAAGGTGTCTCGAATTATGCTTTTTAGTACCTTGTAAAGCGATGGGTTATAAGCAATTATGTACGCACTTGAATAAGTTATGCATTTAATAGACATAATTAATGTGTTAAAATCAACAAAAATTTAACTTGGTGAAATATTTAGATGGTAGGAAAAATCAGTAGCCCAGATATCCAAGCAAGCTGCCAAGTATTATTGAACTTATAAAATCTCCTTTTTTAGTGGTATAAATTCAATAAGTCAAATGAAAGGAATGTGGTTTCATATAACATAATATCGTGTACAACTGTTTATATGTGATTAGTTTTATCGTTAACTGAAAGTATTCGAATGATGTATACAATGAAGCAACTGATATTTTATCAATGAAATTCGATCGTAACATAAATTGCTATTCAATTCGATTTTTATCGTTTTGAGATGACGTGTATAAATAGTAACAGATAAATTCGAACATATGAATAAGCTTTCTGTTACATTTCATGATAAAAATATGTTATTAGCCGAGAATCTAATAATGCGATATTGATAACTGCTCCTTGATATGTTCTTGGCCACTTTTTAAAAAGTTTTTAAAAGTTGTATTTCACACACGATTGAGATTTATAACCCCTGTTGATAAAAATGTGGATCGTGATTATAAATATTTGATTATAAGTGATTGGTTAACCTGCATTTTAAAACGTGTGCTTATTTAATTAGGAGAACCCTTTGGGTCACCTTTACGAATTCGTTAGTTGCCTGTAAATAGTACATCGTTGCAATCTGATTATAGTTGAGATCCATCTGGCATAAACTGTTTTCATCGGATGCCGACATTTGGAATGTTATAGTTAAATTTTATTTCAGTTCACAGACGACTCAATTGTTTTGTAGTAGAAAATTTTAACTTGGAAAAAAAAGCCACATCAATCCTATTTGACTGTCATGATACTACTGATTGGTTATAGATACTGAAATGACAGGTTGAATCAATTCTTTTAATAATCACATAGAAACAGAACTTATTTTGTTTAGTTATCCTAAAATAATGTACCCATATAATTTCCATTTAGATGGAATGATTTTACATGTCATTCAAATAAAACTAGACTAAATTGATAACTATTTATTGGCTATAATGATCAGTTTATTGTAAATAGTTATAAATTTCTAATTACAATGGTAATTACTATTACCTGAAAATTGATAAACTTAAAAATTCACAAGGTAGAAATGGTTTTCCCTTTAACCATTTTCATGAATTATCTTAACTTATCATTTCACTAATAGATTTATGCTGACAAAGTTTGTCATAGATGTCTAATGATTTGAATATGTAATCGTGGTAACCTAATGCAAATGGTATACTTGATTAATGCTAAATGCTGAATTAGTCTAATATTACTGTATGATTAACATTTAGAAAGATTGTTCAGTGAAGAGAATTGTCTTTTGATTAATTAACAGCATTTTAGAATTCATGAAAGTACACATAAGTAACCATGAAAGAATCCCATTACGTCATTCGATAAAATGAAAATGGCTTTGCAGACAATGTCACATACTCAAACTGAAAAAAGGCATTTACAGTTAATTTGTCATTTGACAAATGTTTCAATGATAATAGTCTAAATATTTAAATATCTAGTAAAGTAACCTGTAATTCAATAAAACGATTTTGTATGATTTTAGAAAGTTAACAATAATAAAAACAACACTGAATCATCAATTGTACATTAACAGACGAATATCTGAAGGAGGGTTATATGTAACGATGTAGACTTGAAGGAAATGTGTCAAGACGACAATAGTTGTAAAATAAGTGTTTACCGTCCATCAAATTTCCTATTGATAGCTAATGAATTACTGTAAAAAATCATGAACAAGTAAACAGATTCTTGATCTTTTGAGTTAGAGAATATGATAGAATGGTGTGACTACGTCGGAATGAGTTGTCAGTACTGTTGTTGTAGACCGAATTTCTTTATGGATTCATTATCAATATTCTGTACTATCACATATATGTAGTCTAACTAATGCGAGAAGGAATATTAAATTATATCTTATGCTATGGCTATCACTGAAGGTGGATCAAAATAAACTGTTAAGCTTGAGATATTGTAACTTCATAAAGTAATGTACTAAGTGTCGTTTAATTTACTTCTAATACAGGGAGCAAAGATCTAAGCAAAGTTTTAATATTATAAATGAAACATTGTATTCCACTGCCGATTCAAGTTGCTCCTTCAGAGGTTTCCCGTAGTGGCTGAGTATGATCACATACGTAGCAAAGTTCGTTGGTGTCTGCATCGTCGTCCATAATGTTGTCACTCAATGAACGCTTCAGAGGTGATGCGAGTTCGGCTACACTTCCACTATAGCAACAACAATCCTTGATAAATCGTCTGTGACAATCCCAATCAGATCTCGATTATCACTTAAACGCTTGAAGAACGACAGAAATTGAGAGCGCAGTGTTGAAGTTTCACGAAGAATGACGGTGTCAGAGATCGATATGGCCATTATATTCTTATCCAAGGCCCCAATTCGATACATAAATTTTTGTTGTTGGCTTTATATATCCCAATAAATCACCTACATCCAAGAAATAATTAATCAAATAAATTTGCTTAGCTTCAGCGAAGAAAAAATACTAAAGATCATTATCCTCATTCATTTGATACTCATAAAATCCGCTAAAGAAAGTGATATAGTTTTCCATTTTGGCGTAATCCCCTACATTCCATTCATGTAAATATCTACATTACTAACAGCATAGATTGGCCGGTGAAAACAATTTGTACAGCATATTTTAGCCGCTTCCTGTAAGACTGATATATGTCAATATTTTTTTAAAGTGCATATTATCAACTTATAAAAAAGACTAGTGAAGCTTACTTATTGAGATTATAATTTATGGACGACCTTTGAGCGACGTTAAAGTGACCTTGAGGGTATCCACCTAATAACTAGGTTCAAATGAGGGTTATAAAGCAGTGTGAAGAATTAGAATTATGATTTACAGTTGATGGGTTTTCATCACAAACTGACATCAGCTATAATGTCAAAACTATATTTAACCAAATGGATGAGTGAATTTTGCGCCTAAATCCGAGACCTGTCATCTTATACCTGATTGGTTCGTCCATAAATTATAGTCTCACCGCTTACTTAATGAAATTCAAAGACTCCATAAAATATTTAAGAAATAATGTTTCACAGAAGAACTGTTATCCGTAACTTCCTGTTTAGTCATAACCATTGAATTCTCACAAAACAAAAATATTGTGATTGTGTTGATTTATGACATACTTTCAAAAGGTTTTTCATGTTGATTATTGACTAAAACATACTAAAAGTGTATCGTGGTAAATCTGAGACTTCAGAGAAAACGTACATGAAAATCTACTGTCGTTTATTTTAAGAGTAAAATTAAACAAGTACAATATAAAATGGAGTGAATGCTGTCGGGGTTAACTGGACATAAAGTATCTATGAATATAATGTTAAACTTCGTTATTTGTATTTCTGACATTGAATTCTAGTTTATTACATTGTTTTTAATTTCAGAGACTTTATTTCGGACCATTAAGCTATGGATTAATCATTTGTAATTTTAGACTGGAGGGAGAAATAATACAGTGATCAATCTTTGGATTATTACTATTACTATTATTATCATTACTGTTATTATTATTATTAACTTTTTCATCGTAATCGGGAATATTTCAGCTTTTCAATAGTTTGTAAATTAAATCATAGTATCTTGCATTAGACGTTTTGGACAAAAGCTTGGTACAGCAGTTGTTTTGATGCACTGAAGATTTCAAGATATATCACTTATTGATTTTTTTTCTATTACCACTATAAGAGGCATCTTGATGCTTTCATTGTTTTTCATTCAGTTATCTCCTCACTGTAAACAGATTATTTATCTTCAGTTTATTTATATTTCTAGACAATATTATTATTAACAGTCGTTAGCCCCAAGATCTATATACAGTACGCTTTAACTGAATTCATTTATCCTCAGCTCTATTTCTTTTACTGAAAATGATTGTAAGTATTAACAAATATGCAATTATTTACATCGGATTTCTTTTAAAGTTATCCATTTTAGCTGTTACAGTAAATAAATTTGGATAACTGTTAATTTCATTTAGAGTTAATCAATAATGGATTGCATCGACAGCATATGATACAATCTATAGTTCTTTTTATAAATGCTAATTTTAATGACTTATAACATGCACCTCTGAAGATCCAGAAAGTGGATAAAATTTTCTTTTTTTTTAAAGTACATTATGTAATAGATAGTTCAGTAAAGTAGTGTCAGTATCTAATCTGAAAACAGTCCTAGTATTTGGAGAAGGTAGGTTGATCTGGTGCAGATAACAAGTTTTTACTATGATTAGAGAACGAAAAACGATAACCTTAGTATGTTATCCAACGTCTTCATATGTCTAATTTACATTTAGTATATAGGAACCCTTTGATTATCCTATGCAAAAATTTCATTTGTTTGTTGATAGTTTCCTGATCGAAGATTTTCGCTGTATACTTTGAGCATATTCATCGTGTCAATTTTTTTCACAAATATATGGGTTTAAATTATATGCATAGAGTTAAACGTCTTCCTTGTATTACAGATTATAATTACTAAGATAGAGAGTCACTTGTTCAACAATCTTTGGAATGTATTTATACATGATAACTGATCGTAATTCACTCTTGTGTTAATCCTTATAAAACCATTATTTTCATTGGATGGTAACCTCCAATAGTTATCAGTTGATATCAACAGTTACTGAAATTTGATAGAGAAATAAAAGTTATATCAGAACAAAACATTGTGACACTTAGTTTATGATGTAATACAGTTAGTTCCATTCGTAATAGATGGTTTATGATTTTAAAAATGAACAACAGATAGTTGAAAATAAATCCAAATTTTACGAGCTCGAATTCATGTTAGGTTTTGAGAGCTCATTAATAAAGAATCCTTACCAAAACACTGTTGATATCATAGTAGACTTGGTGATCAGAAACGATTTTTTAAATCAAGCATATGTTACGTTCGTTAGGCCTCATGTTCAAATAGTCATCTTTCCAAATATTATGTTCAGTGCAAACTTCAAAAGAAGCGAACTAAACAGTTTCTTCATGTACATAATCTAGGATGTAATTGTTTATTCAGAATAGCTGCGTTTTAAGTTAATGTACCTCGTATTTATCATTTTACCGATCCATTTCTGACCTCATTATCATACATTGTAACTTTTTTATGATACGAGGTCAAATATGGTGAAATGATCTGAAAAGTCATTTAGTGCCCATACATACAAACACAAAGATAATGGTCACTTTATATGATATAGTGGTCTTGATGATCGTTTTATTCTATTGTGAGGACAAATTTCGTATAATCTCTCATCAATATATTCTGACCAATTGTTTTTCCTTGTCAGTGAGGCTTCCCTGGAACGCTCAGATGTCATCAATCGTTTCTTGCTGACCCACACTTCTGTAGAAGTATAGATAATTTAATTCCAAAATATCTTGACTGTAATCTCTGTTTCCCACTGTCTCAATTAAAGAAATATCTACGGTATTTTCATCATCGCTGGTTCAGTCACACATTCCTGAAACAATAACTAATTCATCGACTAATTGTTACTTGGAGACTAGATTCAGATTATGTTAATGTCATGAACATAAATACGATAAAAACGGGATTTAAGATAGGAAAGACTATCAAGCAAACTTTCACTAATCAGTTCATGAAGGTATAGTAATCAAATATTCGATTGAGACTTAAAAGATAAGTATCTTCCTTCAAATATAATCTTAGTAGAAAACAACTTCTTCTAGATATAAGTTCTACATTCTGACGTGCATATGAATAAGAATGAAGCGTTTTCAAACTTATGTATTCCGTAATTTTTTTCCTATATGTTTTAGAACTACTTATTATGGTAATTTCAATGGTTAAGATCATGAGTCAGTTGAAGCTAGACCACCATGGAAAACCTGGAAGCACTGGACGGCCGTTTCGTCCTATTGTGGGACGCCTCAGCAGTGCGCATCCACGACCTCGCCCCCTGCGAGATTCGAACCCAGGACCAACTGGTTTCGCGCCCGAGCACTTAACCACTAGACCACTGAGCCAGCATCCAACGGTGTTCATGTCTAACTTCAACTAATCCACGAAATTGAGCGACGCATTCATCATTGTCTTCAGTGAGTTACTACCTCACAACAGACCTGGTTGAACTCCACTAGTCACTACTTCTCACTAGAACTCCAGGATATACCTCGTGAAGCCAGTCACTAGTGAGCATATTTTTGATTAATATCAGATGGGTTTTTTGTGGAGATTGTAGTAATTTCAATGGTCAAGATCATGAGTTAATAGGGAATGTAAACTGTTTTACGTTCAGATTATAACATATAAAATGAACAAGAAATTTAGTCTTATGTAAAATGAAAATAATATGAAACATTAAATTCTGACATTTTTCACCTAAGAATTTAAATCAAAACAAATCACTGTCTGTCTGTAAGTTTGAATACACATTAACACAGTGTGAAACAAAAACAAAACAAAAAATAGAAAACATCAAGTAATGTTTTTTGTTCATTCACATAGTATTCATTTTCATGTGCATCATAAGTATTCTAAGACTGAACCACCTTAACATGAAACTATAGTTAACCTAACTTTAATCTTGATGCTAAAATTCACTTTTTCTTTATAGTTTCAGTTTGCATGATCATAAAGTAGAAGTGATGTAAAGTCCAGTTTGTTTGTTCTTTTTTTTTATTATTTGTCAGTTGAACAAAATGTGTTTGTCGTTATTTTATAAGACTATTTAGAAAAAAACAACAACAACAACACAGTTTGTAATGAATGTGAGTATTTTAATCTAATGAGTGAGTTAAATCTGTTTTTTTCTCCCTTCTTTAACGTATTCCCTAGGCTCTTTTAGTATATTTTTAATATTCATCTAACTTAATTTTGAAGTCTGTTCTAGTCTGACAATTTCGATTTTTGGTTGGCCTAATCTAAGAAGTAAGAATTTAATTGATTCATACACTCAATTCCATAATGTAAATTGGGAAGTACAATTAACTAGATATTTTGCTAGTTTTAAATTGTTGGTTTGTTCTCTGTGTAGAATGAAATAGTTATCAACGTGGATCAGAATAATATTTTGTTCTAATACCTGTGAAAATGACGCTTATTCATTATTTCTTAAATATCTATATGATTGATGAAGTACATGAGGTGGATCATGAAGTCAGTTGACAAATAACAGATTAAATAACAAGTAATTAAACTACATGTCTCGATGTGCAAGTCAATTCCCATTACTGATGCCATTCGAATAACAGTGTTTTTTGTAATACTTTATACGGATTTTCATAATGTAAGCTATTTAATCAATATTTAACAGACTTATGTTCATCAGGTCAGATTAGTAGTTTGATAGCTGATATTTCATGGCAAGGTAGATCTTGAAATATATTGTTCTAGTAGGTATTATCACATTACATGAACTCTGCTTCGTAACCACATGAAAATATACTTTTTGTATTATGCGATCCTTACTGTTTTACATATTATTCCAACCAAATAAAATTAGTGGAACATACTGACAGATTAATGGCACCTCATATTTGAAGTATTGAGTTACAATGTATGAATATTACTTGAATATGAGTGTACCCATCGTGATATATGATGAGGAACACAAAATGTATCAGGAAATCAGATGTATTCTGAAATGTTGTTTACATCATAATATTCTCTTGTTCAAACGAATGATTAACAAATTCAGAGTGAACTATGTTGAAACATGATATGCCTGAGTGGATTATGCACGACAATTGAGAAAGGATCTGTACTGATAATATACTAATCTCTTAGAAATACTACTGCTACCCCCCACAATCCCTTATCCTACTGATCTGCAGAATATAGGAAGACAAAACTTGGCCCGAGGCTAACAAGAATATATTTTAGGGAAAGATATCACTCTTTTATATACAGATTCATTTTTTCGTGATAATCAATGAAGTTGAAGTAATTATGGCTTAAATGAATACCAAACTGCATACACACACAAAAGAAATCGTCATTATACACTCGAATGTAATATTGAAATAATCATTGATGGAAATTGCCAGAATACAGTTGAATATCACTGTGAATGATTTTCATTATTTAGCTATAATATCATTCATGGTTGCTTCCCGTCACGTCCCGTGAAAAGTTCTTCTTTTTTAGGTCAACATGGAATACATTTAGCGTTCCTCATTTTTGTGATTATCTTTTTAGAGTCCTTTTTTTGACTCCACTGAATTAACAGAACTATGTTTCAACATATATAAATCCCAAGCGAATCTGAATAGTAGGAATCATTGGATAAAAATAGGTTCAGCTCTTTTAAATAAAAAAAAAAACTGAACATTGTAACAAAACTTAAAATTTTATTACTGTTTACTGAGAAAATTGATATCGTTTCAGGATAGAGAGACGAGTATTTCAATGAAACAAAACATGATATTTAAAACCCTTACAATCATAAATTAACATTAATTTGATACAATGAAGAATAAAATAAACGAATTATTACTGTAAAAATTATAATGACCTCATATTCCTTGTCTATTCATGGATGGAACAACTAGCAGTGGCGAATTCACTTCCATAGTCCTAAAGCACATGTGTCGTGATAGATGTTGTTTGCACATTGTAAGGAAGAAGTCTAGTTTTTTTTATTGAAACAAGGAAGCCTAGAAGGGAAGTCCTTGTAATTACGCTTTTTAAGTCCAAAAAATGTATTGAGAATAGTATTGAGCAAATGTTCATAAAGGTTTTGCATGAATCAAGGTTTACATTGTATTTAACTATGGAGATACTGTTTGAGTACTCGAATCTGGTAAACAGATCACTCAGACTAAAATGCTGCTTTTGTTGACAATCATCAGCCATCTTTTATTCTGTATCAAACATGCTATTCGAGGAAAAGAATAATACACTACCAATGACGACCTACAATGTATTTGTATTCAGTTTTCGTGATATTTTTCATAGTCAAATAATGATGTATTTCGTAATACATTCCATGAACTAATGTTCAATTGCCGTCAGTTTTCCCTCAAGCAAACAATCTAACGGTTTGAAATCGAGTTCATCAAAGTGTACCGGATAAAAGATTTATACAACAATGAAATGCTAGAAATAATTTACTGAATTATTCACCAGTATAATCTGTTTAATAGCATATAAATAATCGGAAATTTTTGAAACAATATTATATTAATGCATTGAAAGCTTTTAGTGGCCCGTGGACCTGACTCCAATTAGATCGTATGAATGTTTGTTATCGCCTATCCGCGTATATTATCATCGACTTAAATCGCGTTAGTTAATAACGGAATTAAGTAAGCCGAATAACGAGAATGGACTAGTGAATACATATATTTTGTATATAAAGCGAATGAAATAGAAAGAAGAGAAAGGACGCAGAGTGGAGATGGCTGGTAAGCCATCTCCCATTTAACCAAGCGTTAATCAATATTTATAGTTACACAAAAGTAAGCTACAGACATGTGATGAGT